AAGGCACGTTTTCGGCAAGAATTTAATATCTGTGTTCCACTATAGGATGTTTTGAAAGTACTAATGTCTTCTGTTCAAACTTCACAGTCCTTTAGCAGATGCTGAAAAATCTACTGCATCCATGGACATCATGAATTTAATTCCATAAGGTAATTCTATAAACAAGTCAAACAATAAAAATCTTATAGAAGGAGATATATATCAAAATATATTGAAATGACATTGACTAATGAGATCTCGGAGAGAAATAAAGGCCATAAAACACACAGGCTGCCTTAGTACACTAACAATCGGATCACCTGAAAACACAGTACATACCTGGATACACTAACACAGGTTGTCTGTATACTTTAACACACTGGTCACCTGAATACATTAACACAGGGGTCACCTTGATACATTAACACACAGGTCACCTGGATACATTAACACACAGGTCACCAGAATGCACGATCACACAAATCAGCTGTATACTGTAACACAGAGGTCACCTGAATACATTAACACTCAGGTCACTAGAATACATGATCACACAAATCAGCTGTATACTGTAACACAGAGGTCACCTGAATACATTAACACACAGGTCACCAGAATACACTAATATAGGTTGCCTGACTACACTGACCCTAATTAACTAACATACAGGTATTCTGAAGAATTAACACATAGGTTACCTGAATACACTAACACAAATCATCTAGATACATAAACACACAAGTCATCTGAATACATTAACAATTCATTTTGGATGCGTTAACACAGGTTACCTGATGCACTAACACAGTTCACCTGAATATATTAACTTGGGTCAGTTGAATATATGTATACATGGGTTTCTTAATTGCACCAACAAACAGCTCATCTGAAAACACACTGGCCTTAATGCACAAACTTTTGGAATATGTGAACACAAAAGGTCATTTGAATACATTAACACAGGTTATCTAATTACATTAACGAATAGTACACCAATATACACCAACAAAAAGGTCACCAGAATACATAAACACACAGGTCACCTGAAAACAATATTAATGAATAAGTTTTTTAAGAAAGTAATGCATTAGAATTCAGCATACATCAAAAAACATACAGCGCAGACATTGAACCATAACTTCCCACTCTCACAAACAAAAATTACGTATTAACTCGGATTGGCTTATATAACTGGTATCTACTGTATGCCCAACAAACATTTACATGATTTCACAAATTGTCACTAGATGATGCATCATAATCATCTGTCCATATTTATCAGATCACATTGACTAACTTCCCCTTGGAACCAAATTCACAAATCATACGCATGTTTCAGAACTCTGATTTATCCATCCGATCACTCAAACATCGAACAAAAATGTACAGGATGAATCTTAACATCAATATGTAAGGGAAAACTATTCACTCTACAATGCACATCACACATTAATATGTAGGGGGAAACCAATCCCTTACAACACACATCACTATATAGGGGTCAGCCATTCACCCTACAACGCACCTCACATTAATATATAGGGGCAACCATTCACCCTAAAACATGCCTTCCACATCAATATGAAGGGGTCAACCCTTCAGCCTACCACTCACCTCACACATTACTTTGTAGGGGTCAACCATTCATCCTACAACACACCTCCCACATCAAAATGTAGGAATCAACCATTCTCCCTAAAACACAATTTGAATGTAAATATGTAAGGGTTATCCATTCGCCCTACAACACAAATAACTACTATGTAGGGGTCAGCCATTCATCCTACAGCACACATCACTATGTAGGGGTCAACCATTCACCCTACAACACACAATACTATGTAGGGGTCAACCATTCACCCTACAACACACATCACTATGTAGGGGTCAACCATTCACCCTACAACACACATCACATATTGATATGTTGGGGTCAACCATTCGCCCTACTACACATCGATTTGTAAGGTTTATCTTTCACCCTACTACACAGCTAACACTAGTGTGTAGAGTTCAGCCATTCACCCTAGTATACACCTCACACACCAACATGTAGAAGTCAACCATTTACCCTACAACATAGCTTGCATATCCATATGTAGAGGTCAAGCATTCATCTTTCAACACAACTCGCAACATCTTGTTGAAGTTAGTCATTCATCCTAGTACACAGGTCACACACCAACATGTAGAGATCAACATTTCACCCTACAACACAATGCCCACAACAATTTAGGTATTAGTCATTCACCCTAGTGCAAATCATGTTCACACAAATACCCTGTAGAGGTCAACCATGCACATTATTACACAGTTTGCTCAACAATAGGTAGGAGGTAGTCATTCACCCTTGTGAAAATCTCATTCACACAAGTACATAGTTCACATTCCATCATGTAGAGGTCAATCATTCATCCCAGCACACATCTTTGACACCAACATTTAGGGGTCAACCATTCATCCAAGTACACAGCTGACAAAAGGAATATGTACTTGTCAAATGTACACTCTAGAACACAGCTCATTCACACAAGAACAAAGCTTGCACACTAACATAAAGAGATGTATCATTCTTGGACACAGCTTGCACAAAACATGAAGAGGTCTTTCTTTCATCCTAGACAAATATGAAAGTCACATATTGACTCTCATATATAAATGTTACACATTGCCTATCATGTGTACAGGTCACTCATTGACTCTATATAAAAGTCGTACATTAACACTCCTATTTACATGTCTCATATTGATTCTTTTTTGTATAGGTCACATATTTAAACTCCTATATACAAGTCACACATTAGCTCCCCTATATACAGGTCACACATTAACTCTCCTATATACAGGTCACAAATTGACTCCTAAATACAGGTCACAAATTAACTCTCCTATATACAGGTCACAAATTGACTCCTATATACAGGTCACACATTAACTCTCCTATATACAGGTCACAAATTGACTCCTATATACAGGTCACACATTAATTCTATATACAGGTCATACATTAATTCTATTTACAGGTCACACATTAATTCTATATACGGGTTTAACATTGACTCCTATATACAGGTCACACATTAATTCTATATACAGGTTTAACATTGACTCCTATATACAGGCCACACATTAATTCTATATATAGGTCACACATTAATATTCCTATATACAGGTCAAATATTCACTCTCCTTTATACAGGTCTCAAATTGACACTCCTATATACAGGACACACATTGACTCTCCTATATAAAGGTAACAAATTGAATCTCCTTTATACAGGTCACACATTGACTCCTATATACAGGTCACACATTTACTCTCCTATATACAGGTCACACATTAACTCTTCTATATATAGGTCACACATTAAATCTCCTATATACAGGTCACACATTGACTCTCCTATATATAGGTCACACATTGAATCTCATATATACAGGTCACACATTGACTCCTATATATAGGTCACACATTGACTCTCCTATATATAGGTCACACATTGACTCTCTTATATGTATAAGTAACACATTGACTCCTATATACAGGTCACACATTAATTCTCCTATATACAGATTTAACATTGACTCCTATATACAGGCCACACATTAATTCTATATACAGGTCACACATTAATTCTCCTATATACAGGTCACATGTTCGCTCTCCTTTATACAGGTCACAAATTGACACTCCTATATACAGGTCACACATTGACTCTCCTATATACAGGTCACATTGAATCTCATATATACAGGTCACACATTGACTCCTATATATAGGTCTTACATTTACTCTCCTATATATAGGTCATACACTTAATTTCCTATGTATAGGTCACACTTTATCTCTCCTATATACAGGTCACACACTGACTCTCCTATGTACAGGTCACACATTGACTCTCCTATATACAGGTCACAAAATGACCCCTATAAACAGGTCACACATTCACTCTCCTAAATACAGGTCACACATTGACTCTCCTATATACAGGTCACACATTGACTCTCCTATATCCAGGTCACACATTGGCCCTCCTATATCTAGGTCACACATTGACTCCTATATACAGGTCACACATTGACTCTCCTATAAACAAGTCACACATTGACTCCTATATACAGGTCACACATTGACTCTCCTATATACAAGTCACAAATTTAATCTCATATATTCAAGTCACACACTGATTCCTTTAAACAGGTCACTTATTTCAACTTGCATACACATGTCACACATAGCAATAATTCTATAGTGTATTTTACTGACATTAAAGTACAAAAATGATTCATCAACACAGTTGTTTCTGTTCATGGTGAGGCTAGGTCCTTGTCACTCTAGTAGGACTCCATGTAAGCTTTTTGATGACTAGGATTTTGTGACATTTTTATCTGAAATCTTAAATCTGAAATATCAGTCTACCTAGTGTTCACATTCTTACTATCATAAGACAATTGTCTATATATAGTAACAATAATGTATACAAAATTTTGTATGAAGGTCACATGATGACATTTGATAAATCTTAAGTTTGGTGTTGATTGCTTATACATATGATCTTGCTGACTTTTACTTCAGCAGATATTCCACCAGGGTCCTGTTAATCTGTGCCACTACCACAAGGGTCCTGTTTGTCTGCCACTACCACAAGGGTCATTTTGGTCTGTGCCACTTGGTAACATATTTGTTTGTGCCACCAGAGTCCTGTTGTGCCATTTGACATCATTTTTGGTCACTAGATATTATGTTGGTTTGTATTATCAAATGTCAACGAAATAACTTTTTATTTAATAACAACATGTTGTGTTTCTTTCGGATATGCTTCAAAGGAGGAATCAGCAAGTCTGAGTTTTGGCTGGTATCTACACCTATTGTTAGACATTTTAACCTGGTTACTTCATCAAAATGTCTAAACACCCATTTAAGGATACCGAGGAAACTTGGGTATTAGCATGTGATTAAATGTAACAAGGGGAATCTTGGTATGTTTTTCCATTTGAACCTTAACTCAGATGAACAGATATACACAAAATGGAATCCTACACATGTTGGACAGAAATCGACGGATCAAACCCAAACCAGAAAGGTTCCAGTCCTGCATGGAAAAATTCAATGTCATTGTTACATGTGAAGAGCGTGTGTATGACCAAGTGATCGATGGTAAGTCATGTGTGAATCAATATCACCTTACAACAAGAGATATTTTTGAGGGGATCTATTTTTCCATTTTCAAGGACACATTTAAGTCACTATAAATTGAATGTCAAAAAGATGTTTTGCTGTAATAGCTTTTGTTTTGGACATTTTGCCCTGACATCTAATTAACTACACATGTGAACAACACTGAAAACTGCTTCATTTTCCATTGCCTGTGTTTATATATAAGAACTGAATTTTTCTGATCAAATGTCCTTCAAACATATAATAAATCTTTGTTTACTGAAGGAAGGGGGCTGTTTCCATTATTTTCTACTGAAAACTCATGTGGTAAACTCTGCATTGTTGTACAGATTTGGAAAACCGTATAAAGGATCAGAGTGAACCTGTACACATCATCAACCTAGATATTCAAGACAACCATGAGGAGGCAACTGTTGGGGCTGTCATGATTTGTGACTTGGCAGGCATGGTGAGTATACAGACTGGTTTTTATATAGTATCCTGGATATTAAAAATTTCTGTGGAAAAACAGTGCCAATTATGTTGTCTGTTTTCATATGTGTTCATGTTTAGACATAGATACGATAATGGTAATATTAATTTTGGGAAAGAAATAATGTTGTTTCTTTGTTGTAAAATAGTAGACAAGATTGAAATTAAGTAATGTAAACATATTTATTTTGGTACAATCAAATTTGAGTGTAATATCAATTTGGAAATAAGCCTGTTGACGAATTCATGCTTTCACAATAACTCCATGTAAGGTTTCTGATGGCTTGGATTGTGTAACATTTTTATCTGAAATCTATATATATATTATAAGTTTACCTAGTGTCCACATTCTTACTATCGTAAGACAAAAGTTCATATATAGTAACAATAATGTATACAAAACTTTGTATGAAAGTCACATGATACTTGATAACGTTCATCTGATCTCGTTGATTTTTACTTCAGGAGATATATAATTGATTTTTCAGCTGGTGGAATCAGATGACCTTGATAATGATGTGGATGAAATTGTTCAAGATTTTGAAGCTAGAGCACAGCGACCTATTCTCCATACAGTCCAATTCTATTGAGTACTGTGGAATTTTTATTCATCTGCGATATGGAACTGATTACGTCTTAAATTTTGGAGATTTTGCAATTTGTGTTTGACATTACTGGTGTGTGCACACAGTGGACAGTTGGTAATTGCATTTGTACACATGCCTTTGTGAGCATTTGATTATGCATTTTCTCACATGCTGTTGACGAAAAGTTGTCAGTTGTCTTTCATTTGGTGACTATTGATTTTGTGTGTCATTAATGTTCACAATTAATTGTATTTGCAGACTTTGTAATAAGTAAGTTGTATACATATAATAATATCATTTCTGTTTGTCATTTATGTTATGCACTTGATAAACAATCACACGATTGACTTTTATAAGGTCATCTGACCTGAGGGGTCAAGATGACCTAAGGCCATAATGTTTCGTCTGTCGTCATGCATCAAGTGCTTTCCGCGGTCCATCATGTGTAAACTTTTAATTCAGATAACTTCTTCTAAGTTACCGGAAGGCTCAGGTACTGGTATTTGGCCTGTAACATGATGGGATGTAAGGCTATCAAGATTGTTTATATGACTGACCTTTCAAGGTCACAGTGGTCAAATATGCTAAAATGTTCAACATTTTTTCTCAAATGTGCTGAAATATGTATTCAAGTTCTTCTTAAAAACCAAAAGGACAAGGGTCTTGATATTGGGCAATTTAGCATTTATTTTAGGCCTATTTGGCCTTTTTTATATATAGGTCTTTATAGTCAGATGACCTTTAAAGCCTGTTAGCCTCTATAAGAACTGAATGATTATGAAAATGCTACCATTTCATTATTTGAGTCTATCAATTTATGGAGAAAGCTTAATGTGTGGTGTTGTCGGTTCACTATCCTTTGACATTTGGTCTGGAGATTTCAGATTTCAGTCGAAATTTTTTTTCTTTGTAAATCATATCTGCTAAAAGCTTAACAATCTCTCAATCTTTCACAGCAGCCATAGCCACAGTTATGAAATACACATAGATACTTACATCATTTTCAACATACAAATTTTAAATGAAACATATCTTGTTGAGTCTCAGAATCAGAATCTACATACTCACAAACTCTACAAGTCTGTATAGTATAAAGATCAAGGGATAATTAACTTGACAAGGGAAGTAATTCTAAGAAGAAAAAAAACATTTTTTCTCAACAAGGGAAGTAACTCAGACAAGAAAAAACTTCCTGACACAAGTCAGAGTGAGACTTTTCTAAAGTCTATCTATTACACTTGTACCTCCACATTGAAAGCATGAGGATCACAGTGCAATAAAGCTTAACTGAGTTGTTACTTGTGGTATAGAAATGATGAATGATTGATAGGCTGGGATCATATTACAGGTGAGAGAGCTAATACAGTATTTAGAAGTCTATATTGCTACTTTTTCCTTTACCCTTCAAAACAGATATTTTGAAAACTTTCCAAAATCTTCTTTTATAATGAGACATAAATTGATAAAGGAGAAAAATATGTTACTTAATGTGTTTTGAGTATTATTTTAGTTGGTGTTAATGTTAATTGACAAATCCTTTTAGAGATGACAAATCTATTGTCTTAGAATAATTCATAGAATATATGTAAGGATATGATTAGAGGTTATTGTAACTCAGAATAAATCGTTTTAATATCATTTGAACCATGAACATGTTTCTGTAAAGTGCTGAAAGAGATTTGTAAATAATATTCAATTCAAATGAAAAAATGAAAGTAATAAGATAAACTTATTAAATATGTACATGTGTATATGTTCAGTGAAACACTACATGAATTATACATGTACAGTGTACATACCAATGCTTTATAGTAAGTGATAAATTGTTGTGATTCTTTAATGGATATAAAGAATATTGCTGTGATTTTTTTTACTGTTTTGTTTGATAGAAAAAATTAACTAGAAGAGTTTTAGTTGATTTCTCTCCAGGATTAAACAGAAATTATAAAATCAATATGCAGAGAATTTAAATCAGTCCATGTATGAATTATAACAAGTCAGTATCAATACCAGAACATCCAATTAAGATAGCATTATACAGAGTATAACTTCCTTGTCTTTCATGTTTAATTGTGTTGTCCTCCTAAACAGGTTCATTAAAAACCTCTCAGTGTGAATGGACATTAAAGATTCTGTCAAATTTTATCAGTTCAGTACTTTTCTCCAATTGTCAATGGAAACTGATTTCTGTTAGGAAAAGAAAACTTTAACAGTTTTGATTTCTAAACAAGATGCTAGAAAAAGCCTTCCTGAGGCAAAGATGGATTTTATCTAGAGATAATTGTATATTTAAGTAAGAAACTAATTTCTAAGGAAAGAAGTGATTGAAGCTGATACACTTTCCATGAAGATATTGTTATTGGTTGTTGTGTACATTAGCAACAGTAATAAGAAGGAGTATTGAAGCAAACTTTAGCTCTTGACTTGAAATGTAATTCGGAATGGACTGCTTAGTATCACATCAGCTTGTATAAAATCGTGGTGTAAAAAAAATTGACACAATTTTGAATACCGGGTACCAGATTTGTATTTGACATACAAATAGTATTGATAAAAATGAAGATATAAAATTCTGTTTCTTGAAGGTCCTGGTAGTCATGGTACCATATATCTAAACCTAAAGGATCTTTAACACTTTGTAAAGTTGGATAGCTTTTGAATTCCTTAATGTTGTATTTATTCTAAATCTTCATTGAAGTAGATCTTCAGTAACTGGACTCTCCAGCTTCCTTGTGTGTGGGCCCAATGTCTCATGTTAATTTTTGGTACTTTTTCAGTTAGATGTGAAATGGAAGTCCGCGCCACCTATGTTTATTATATTGATCAAGCTCACTTGGTGACGTGAATTGTACATATAGGCTTGTAAGATTAAACATTTATCACAAAAGTGATTTGTAGGTTTGAATAATGATGTAAGTGTTTACCTTCTGTCAAAGAAAGTCATAAATGATCTGTTGATTATAGGGCAAATTATCTCAGTTTCTTTACCAGTCTACTGAATATAGAATTCAACATTATGTACAAAAGATAGTATTGGTGTTATTATTTCTGTTATTTTTCTTCTAGACCAGTCTGATTTCCCAGAGTTATTGCCCTTCATTTCACTCTGTCAGGCATGATATAATGATAAGCTTGACAGCAAATGGGGACTCAGAATAGTCTAGACAGGCAACACATGTTCTGATAACCCAGATTATACTGTAAGTATTGTTGATGTTGGTAATGGTAGAGAAATGAAGCACACCTTTTATCATTTTCTTGTCAATTGTAATATGATACTTGGATAGACACATTTTATGTACATGGAATAAAATATGCCAAAAATCTTCTGATTTCATTTTAATCATTTTGGACTGGAAAGGTGAAATATTAAAACAATACTAATGCTGTGGTGTTAAAGCTGTTGTATCTTTTTCTAACAAAAAAAATTAAAAAAGAAATGCTACTCCAGAATAATTAAAGATAGTATTATGTTGAGGTTTTAAGCTGTTCACATAAGGAGACTCAATGTGGATTAAACTGATTTGCCATGCCTTGAATAGATATGTTGTATCAATAGAGGAAATACTCTTAGTTACTTAAATTCCATCTTGAGATGCATGTAAGCTTGATTTACTCAATTTCACCTTGATCGTCGGGGCTGAAGGACTTAATATTGTATAGTGGAGGCTGTACCATCCTACATGGATTTATGCAAATAAAGTGTCATGAATAGATTAGCACTATAGCTATGCCAAGTTCTAAAGATTTGATAACCTGAATTAAGCTGCACTGAAGACTTGGTACACAAGGAAACCCCCCTCTGAAGATTTTGTTCCCATTGTCAACCCACTCTAAATCTTGTTACCGTGGGTTATGCTTCTCTGAATACTTGGAACCCTATGTAACAATGTTGTGCAATGGGTTATCCCGCTCTGAGACTTGGTACCCAAATAAACCCAATAGACTTGGTACCCTGGCTTACCTTGCTCTGAGGACTTGGTTTCTCAGTTCACCTGCTTTGAAGATGTGGTACAATAGGTTTTCTATTTCAAAAACGTTGTACTCTGGCTTACTCTGGCTTACTCTGCTCTGAAGATTTGATACCCTCAGTTACCACTCTCTTAATATGTGTTTCCTGCTCTAAAGACTTGATACCCTTGGTTACCCAACTCGAAAAACTTAATACCCTAATTTGAAGACCTGATACCCTTGGATACCCAGTTCTAAAAAGTTGGTACCCTGCTCAGAAGACTTAGTATGTAGAATCACCTACCCTGAAGACCATGGGTTAGCCTGCTCTTAACACTTGGTTTCCTGGTTTACCCCACTCTGAAGACTTTGCACAATTGGTTACCCTGTTCTGAAGACTTTATCCTGGGCTAACCCTCTCTGAAGACTTGATAACCTAGGTTACTCTACTTAAAAGACTGGTATCCTTGGTAACCTCACCGTTAAGACTTGGTACCCTTGGTTACCCCTCTTTGATGACATTTCAAATGACCTATGTACAAGGATCTAAGTTCACTGAATTTTATAAGTGTAAAGCATTATGGGATAGAAATTTACACAAGATCATCAGTGTAATGTGTTAACATTAAGTCATCAGTGTAATGCATTAAGTTAATCAGTGTAAGGTGTCAAGGTCGTGAGGGTCATGTGTAAGGTCATCAGTGCAATGTGTTAATTCAAGGTCAACAGTGAAATATTTACTTGGGGTCATCAGTGTAATGTGTTAACTTTAGGTCATCAGTGTAATGTGTTAACTTTAGGTAATCAGTGTAAGGTGTTAAGGTCATTAGGGTCATGTGTAAGGTCATCAGTGTAATGTGTGATCTCAAGATCAACAGTGAAATGTTTACTTAAGTTCATCAGTGTAATGTGTTAACTTAATCAGTGTAAGGTGTCAAGGTCGTTAGGGTCATGTGTAAGGTCATCAGTGTTATGTGTTAACTCAAGGTCAATAGTGAAATGTTTACTTAAGGTCATCAGTGTACTGTGGTAAGGTAATTACTGTAAGGTGTCAAGGTCGTCAGGTCATGTCAACAAGGTAACGTGTTGACTTAAGGTAATCATTCCAAACGGACACTAGTATACTGAAGCGCAATGTAATAGGACAAAAGTGTAATTAATATCGTCACTTTACTACAGGCCCTTTAGTGACGCCAGTCTACTCACTTTCCGTTCTCTGTAAAGATTGCCATAATAGCGAGCTAATTCGATAATATGGACGGTCTTGTAAAACACTTTCCAACTATTTAACAGTGATATGTTGACCGACGCGAGGTGATACGGGCACCTTGTTACATACACGCAATGTCGGTGAGAACTATGGCCAGACTCCTGTACATGCTGCCGTCGTTGAATGATGCAGGCCAGTATTAAGACTTCGTGTTTGTATATCTCATCTGACAGAAGTCAGGGCGGGTTCGTGGGAGACTGATACACTAGATCTCATTTACAGCCCTCTCAGTATACCGTACAAATGAGGTTCTGTTTGTTGCCGACAAGAAGGACATACTTTTATCTTAAGGCTCGCGTTTCTTTAGTATACCTAAAATAAATCTGCTTATCTCAATTCTTTCAGACTTATCACATTAAATAAGTAACGTCGTTTTGTTTTCGCTTGCAATCGACTTCCGACGGAATACAAAAACGCACTATTTCCATTAAAACCACATTTAATCTACAACTATTATAAGACAAGTTTTATAAACTTTTACCGGAATCTGTCGAGTATTTTAAGGAAGGCGTATTAGCCTGACGAAATCCACGTAGTCTACCAGAAAACCTTTCTCGCGATCAGTAAATCGAATCCCCGGTTGTCATGGTGATATACGAGTATTATAGCCTCTGCGCCACCCATCTATCTACATTTCGTGATAAATTCATCAGTGAGAACTAGCTAGCACTGCTGATTTAAAATGCCTTATACAATCTAACTTAATGCACCGTAGGCCTTCCACAATGGGTAATTAACATATGTCGGCCATGTTAATGCCGAATGATATTGGTCTGTTGTGATTTCAGGTCTGCACGGACATACCCGATTGTAGAATATCATGAAATAAGACTTTTTTCTGGAAAGCATTACACGAGTTTACATTCATATTTTTTTTTAATTTCATCAATGGACATTCGAGGTTTAATTCCCGCAACATTACTTGACAGCATCTAGATAACATTATACTGTATCTGAGGTCATTATTTCGTTCTAATGTCTCAGCTTGGATTCGAACCCGGAACTTCTGGCTTACTAGCTCAGGAGAAAGTTGCTCCAACCGAGCGGTTTATTGCGGCTAGTATCTTGCAAGGGTTACAATACCAAACATTTGTGACATTGATCTGTTACCAGGACCCTTTTTCTACCATAGACTGATAGTCTTGTTGGCACCAATATGAATGGTATTATCACTTTCTTGTACCAGTACAGGGAAATCTGGCATTTCTGGGGAGTCCCGACAGGAATAGAAACGGGTCTAGGACGTGATAATCCACAGTCCATCTTGAAGCCGAGAAGCACACACGTGACCTGAGTAACCGCTCCTTTCACCATCAACATAACATTGTATGGCCTATGTATCGATTACAGTTTCCATGGTACGTATCCCGACTAGTCCCATGGATTAACTTAGATTAATGATATCAACAAAGACAAGCTTCCGAGATACAGTTCCAAGGTCAGACTATATCCAAGCCGATTCTGATCTTCCAGAGTTACTTCCCTTCATTTCAATCTGTTAGATGGTACATGTATAGCGATAAGCTGACAGTCGGAGGGGGCGATAATGGCCCAATCAGACAGGATCCCGGCGCCCCGTCTGACAGCAAGCTACTTCACTGAGTAAACACACTTACTGTTGACCGCAACCGGTCACATGGACACGGGTTTGACTCACATTTATACTTCAATAAGAACAAACAGAAACAATGTCACAACAGAAAAAGATTGGACAACAATGTGCATTAATTTTAGATTGAATATTCAATTAAATTCTACGTGAAAAGTTTCGCACGAAGACAACATGATTTCACTAAGTGACCTTATTTATTTTTAACTGTAAAATGTGAAAGAAACTTCGATGTGTAACAAAGAATCAGAAAACGACCACAATTCTCACACCCTACCTGTAGATATCTGGCAACAGCCTGGAACAATTCTCACACCCTACCTGTAGTACCTGTAGATATCTGGCAACAGCCTGGAACAATTCGTTTTCACACCCTACCTGTAGATATCTGGCAACAGCCTGGAACAATTCTCACACCCTACCTGTAGATATCTGGCGACAGCCTGGAACAATTCTCACACCCTACCTGTAGATATCTGGCAACAGCCTGGAACAATTCTCACACCCTACCTGTAGATATCTGGCAACAGCCTGGAACAATTCTCACACCCTACCTGAAGATATCTGGCAACAGCCTGGTACAATTCTCACACCCTACCTGAAGATATCTGGCAACAGGCTGGAACAATTCTCACACCCTACCTGTAGATATCTGGCAACAGCCTGGAACAATTTTCACACCCTACCTGAAGATATCTGGCAACAGCCTGGTACAATTATCACATCCTACCTGAAGATATCTGGCAACAGCCTGAAACAATTCTCACACCCTACCTGAAGATATCTGGCAACAGCCTGGAACAATTATCACATCCTACCTGAAGATATCTGGCAACAGCCTGGTACAATTATCACATCCTACCTGAAGATATCTGGCAACAGCCTGGTACAATTATCACATCCTACCTGTAGATACCGGGGGACGGCACTGGTACAATTCTCACACTCTACCTGTAGATACCGGGCAACAGCACTGGTACAATTCTCACACTCTACCTGTAGATACCGGGAACAGCACTGGTACAATTCTCACACTCTACCTGTAGATACCGGGGAACAGCACTGGTACAATTCTCACACTCTACCTGTAGATACCGGGGAACAGCAGTGGTCTCACGCTCTACCTGTAGATACCGGGAACAGCACTAGTACAATTCTCACACTCTACCTGTAGATACCGGGGAACAGCACTGGTACAATTCTCACACTCTACCTGTAGATACTGGGGAACAGCAATGGTCTCACACTCTACCTGTAGATACCGGGGAACAGCACTGGTACAATTCTCACACTCTACCTGTAGATACCGGGGAAAAGCACTGGTACAATTCTCACACTCTACCTGTAGATACTGGGGAACAGCATTGGTACAATTCTCATACTCTACATGTAGATAGCGGGGAACAGCACTGGTTTTACACTCTAGATTTAGATACCGGGAACAACACTGGTCTCACACTCTACCTGTAGATACCGGGGAACAGCACTGGTACAAT